GTAACATAGTGACTGACCCACTCAATTAAAGCCAGTGGGACAAAATCAAACTTGGGCTGGGACTTCTGGGGGAAAAAAAAAATTTTTGCTCTTTTTTTTTTTACTGGATTAGAAGTGATAAAAAGTTAGGTTTGGAACTACAGCAACCAAACTGCTACCACAATGAAGAAGCTTGGCTGAAAACAGGGCAAATAAGAGGATGTAGAACCAAAAGATCAAAGAGAGAGACTAGGTCTTGGTAATATGACCTACTTCATCAAGCCATTACTGAAGCCAGACAGTAATCCCCCTTTTGAATTCCCCTTTTCTAGGTCAGTTTGGTTTCTGGTCTTGGAAAACAGAGTTCTAACTGATACCATTGGCATAGTCACAGTTAGGCACGGGGCCAAGGCCTTAGACTTCTGGATGACAATTAGGCAGCCTTATTTAGGATCTCATGCGAAGGTAGCATGTAATTTCAGGCAATCACTTCACATGGGTGTCTCCGTCTCCTTCCCTGTGAAAGGAATACTCCTACTTGCCTAGAGACTCACATGATCATAGTGGGGACAGCAATATGCAAGGAACAGGTAGGGAAAAGCACTCAGTACAACAGGATTCTGTTCTAAGGTAGTATTCTTGTATTTGTTTCCCAAGCAGCCTGGGAAGCTTTACAAAAAGGAGTGGCTCTGGAACCACACTTCATTGTTTCTGTTTTCTCTGAAGGCATGATTTGTTTCAAAATCAGAGTTTATAAGACAAATTACCTTTGAATTCATTCACCTTGAAGTTCATTTTTTGCTGCATATTTAAGTTTTTGGTGGTCACACCATCTTTTCCACTAAGAGCTCATGGTTTGTTTTGAAGGAGGAATGGTTAAAAGCTAAGTATATCTGACTTCTATGAATAATTTAGATATTAATGTTAAACAAGTGTTATTTCACAAAACGATACCCTCAATTTAGGATTAAATTGACCTGCTGGTTTATTTTTCTTGGTAGGGAAGGGCAGTGCTAGATTATGTTTTGGTTAATCATATTTCTCCAGAGAAGCTGACAATTTCAAAATGTGTTTCTTGAAAAAAATGACTAAATGTGAATAACGCTACAATATATTTTTGTTAAAGTACAAAAGTGATAAATATCCTATAAATTGCAAAGGTGATACTGAAGGAGAGAAAAACCTCAGTGTCTCCACAATTGTTTAAGAATTATGTTAACAAAGCCAGGCGTAGTGGCTTATGCCTGTAATCCCAGCACTTTGGGAGGCTGAGGCAGGTGGATCACTTAAGGTCAGGAGTTCGAGACCAACCTGGCCAACATGGCGAAACCCCATCTCTACCAAAAATGCAAAAATTAGTCACCGTGGTAGTGCACACCTATAATCCCATGTACTTGGGAAGCTGAGGTGGAAGAATCACTTGAACCTAGGAGGTAGATGTTGCAGTGAGCTGAGATCACGCTACTGCACTCTAGCTTGAGTAAGACTCTGTCTTAAAAAGAAAAAAAAGAACTGTGTTAACGTGCCTGGTACCATAAAACATCCCTTTTTATTATTATGCAAAGTATTTAGTAGTTTGTGGAATCATAAGAAAAAAAATCAAAAACAGAAAAAGGCCTGAAGTAAACAGATGAAACTCTATTCCTCAGTCCTTGTATTTCTGCAAGAAAATGTCGGCTCCCAAGAAGGTCTGATTATAACTGCACATCTAAACTTGTTCTCCAACCCAGTGACTTTTTTTTTTTTTTTTGAGATGGAGTCTGGCTTGGTCACCCAGGCTGGAGTGCAATGGTGCAATCTCAGCTCACTGCAACCTCCGCCTCCCAGGTTCAAGCAATTCTCCTGCCTCAGCCTCCTGAGTAGCTGAGACTACAGGCCATGCCACCACATTGGCTAACTTTTCGTATTTTTAATATAGAGATGCGGTTTCCTTATGTTAGCCAGGATGGTCTTGATCTCCTGACCTCATGATGTGCCCGCCTCAGCCTCCCAAAGTGCTAGGATTGCAGGTGTGAACCACCATCCCTGGCCTCCAAACCAGTGATTTTAAGAATAAAGCTATTAAGAATATTTTGATCTCTGCCGGCCTAACTCTTGTGTTTTCTTCCCAGTCAATTCCAAACTCATGCAAGGAGACTGGAGTGTGATCAGTTATCTCTTCTAAAGCCCCCAAAGGGGGAAAGAGCTTGGAGAGAGGACCTGAGGGAAGCCTGCTGTGCCTGGCTTTTCTTTCCAAAAAAAAATATTTTTTTTCTTTCCAAAATTTCATGGGATTTTGGAAGGAGAAAGAATCTGGACACAGCAATGGGAAACCCTGGCCCTGGCATACATGGAGCATTGTATGTCGTATTTGCCTGAGAAGGGCAAAACTTCCAGTTAAAGCAAAAGAAACATCTGGGAATACAGTGGTGCTTGCTGAATCTAGATGGCTCCATGCTACATGGGGAAAGGGCTCAAGGGGGCAGCAAGGGCAACCACTGGACCAGATTAAGGGCTATAAGGAGCAGTGATGTGCAGAGTAGGTTATTCACAAGGGTTATTATATCATCTGAAATTGACATTAAAATACTTGGCAATGAAAGTGTGATATACATTTATGTGTAAATTAGTTTTTACAATCCAAATAGTTAACATTTGATGTGTTGTAATATTCAGCACATGAGCATAAAAGATGTTAGATATTTTTCACTGATGAAATGAGGGGTACTTAAGATATGCAGATTGGCTTGAAAACTGTGCTGATACTTCCTACCCTTCATGAACAGAGTATAAGAATCAGTAAAGGTTTGGTATGACTAGGTGACCTCTTTGAACCTTGATTTCCTTTTCTGTAAAATAATAAAAATAACATCTATCTCCTAAGGGACACTGAGAGGAATGATAAGATATACCCAGCTCTAGCCTTGGCATTTAATGACTGTTCCACCCAGGTTCACTTGTTCCTGTTCCTTCTACCACTGTTTTACTGCAGTACTGCAAGCTCCTGAATTTATGTCACTTACCACATTTTCTTTTCTGTACTCATCTATTCTCTTACTAGACACAGTCTTGAAGCTTAACTAATGCTAGTTTCCCTCTGAAGGTCCCATGGCAAAGCCATCATCAAATTTCCTGTACCCAATCACCTGAGATGCTTTTTTAACAGGCAGATTCCAAGGCTCTACCTCAAAAGACTGAATCTGTGTGTCTGTTTGGGTGTGGTCCAGGAATGTGCAGTATGATCAAGCACCTTCGGCTATGATGAATTAGGGGGTCAAGAACCACTCAGAGAAACATCCCAGGTGAGAAAAACTTATTTCAGAAATCCTACAACTGCATTTTCTTCTAATTTGAGTTGAGACCCAAACAAAGACAGCTGACCCAGTTCTCTAGTCCCATATAGAGGCTGGACTCAGCTAACCTGAAGCAGACCCATCACCCTTATTACATGTTTCTGCTCTTCTGGATGACATGAAAATATCGTTTTGTTGGTCCAGCAGCAATCTCCCCTTTTTCTGGTAACCCCCTAGATTTCTCCTACTCTTGGTTCAAAGCTTCGAGCAAGGCTAATCCCTTCCCCCACCATGAAACTGAAGGTCAGCCTCTCAGACATTTACAATAACAAGGAAGAGGAACACTTCCTGAAGATACACTAAACTAGTAGTAACCTCAGGTACATAGAGTGCCTACCTGAGCTACCTGAGAATGAATCTAGAGAGATGGTGCCCTCTGACATCGTTAGGCCCCTGGGGTTCTTGATAACCAGAGTTCCTAATTCTTTTTTTGTTTTGTGTCAGTTTGAGCTAGAATTTCTCCCTGCAACTGAAAATTTTGACTAATACACAGAACCTCTACATTTCTCTTAATGAATAAACCCTTCCTCTCTGGGCAATCCCAAATAATTCCCCTGTACCTCACTCTCCTCATAGAACATCACCTCCCTGCCACAACTGCGGGGAACCTGCTCCTAGGGACCAGGTCCAGCCTGCTTTTCTTCCTTGCAGGGGGGGAAAAAAAGCCATTTTCCTTTGAGGCTCATGTTACAGAGCTCACTGTTTTTCAGCACTGTCTTCATTTCTTAATTCATTTAAGACTGACACCTGTTTTATAGTCTCTCCTTCCATCCTAGCTCTGCCATCATTCCAGATGGATCTCATCATTCCATTTAATACCCTATAATCATAGTTCATGTAGCATTCACTGCACACCAGGCACGGTTCTAAGCATTTTACAGATATTTTAGTTCACTCGACCCTTAATCATAACACAAGCCATTATTATGCCCACTTCTTAGATAAGGAAACTGAGGCTTAAAAAGGCAATTTAGACTTGCCTAGAGTTACCCAGTCATGAAGTGGTAGGGTAGGAATGAGGACAAGGGAGTCTAATTGCAGAGTCTAGACTCTTAACACATACTCTGGCTTCCCAGTTCCTCATAACTGTACCATCCTCCACCTCTACTCTGCATTGGTTCTGTGGAGGCGGGAGGGAGGGAGTACCTTCTTCACTGAGTCACTGGACATTTGGAAGGTCCTTGGAGAGAAGTCAGCTAAGGATGGCTTGTATTGCCCCTTCCTGTCACTCAATGATTTGTTGTTATCACCCAGGCAAATTCCCCAACAAATAGGTAAAATCCAGGAATCTGAGATGCAGCTGAACTGAAAACCCGGCAGCAGAAAAGCAGGTTATAGAATCTGCTCTCAGCACTCCATCCAGCTCCTTCCTCTCTGCCCCAAAAACCTCCCTCTCTTTGGGAACGTTGCTGCATTCAGGGCAGTCTGTCTTCCCTCTGTCTAGGGCTGTCTTTACAACAGCCTATACCTATGTGTCCCTTGCCTATACCCTTATTCCTGTTTGGTGCTCCTCGGCCCCCTAGAAACTTTGCACAATAGGTCAAAACCTCTGGTTTCCTCCCTTCCTCCGTCTGAAATCGCAAAAGAAGGAACCCAAGGGTTTTAGGGGGCAGCCAGGCAACAGTTTTACCACCCCTAGGCAATCACACCTAGATGTAGCTTCACCGGGAAGGCTCTGAAAACACAGACCTGGGACTCTCCCTCCCAGCCTTCTGGCTCTGGTTCCTGTGAGCAGCTTCTCCACCTCCACTTCCAGCAGCTGACAGGCCCTCCTGGCTCCACAAGTCCAGCTAACGCATCTTCCACAATCCCCAGCCCTGCCAGACACGACCTGCAACAGGCATTCCTGGATCAATGCAAACTCCGACTTTTGTTCCAGCAGTCTGCCTCTGTTACAAAAAACACACAAATATGCATGCTATGCCACAGTAAATGCTGTATAAGGTGGCCAGGCCCAATCAGGCCCTGCAAGATACTGAATAATAAGAATTATCTATGGAGTGTTTACTATGTGCCAAACACGGTCCTCACCACTTTGCAAGCACTACAACCCTCAAAATAACACCACTGTGAGATTGAGACCATCATGATTCCCATTCTACAGAAGGGAACACTGAGACCCTAGGAGGTCAGAACCTTTCTAGGTTCACAACTGCATAACTAAGTTGCAGAGCTCACCCTCACTTCCATCTCACACGCAGCTGTCTGACAGTCAAGAGCCCAGCCGGTCCCCTGGTCGTCTCTACTGTCTAAACCGCTGCATCAAGCTGGAGCAGCGGGCTCAGCGGTGAAAAGAAAAGAACAGAAGGAAGTTACAGAGAAGAGAACGGTCATGGTAAATTCAGGAGAGGTGGCGAGAACGCACACACGGAGATACTTCCTGGTCACCGTTACTCAGCACTTTGTGGGGTTCACGGGACTGGGAGGGGGGCTGGGACGTGGCGGGCCTTTTCGAGAAATCCAGCCCTGCCTGGGCGGTCCTAGGACTGTCCCCATCTCGAGTGTGGGCGCGTTCGATTCCGGCCCAACAGACGCATCCCCAGGTGACCCGGGAGGGCCCTGTGTGTCTGAAGATGACTGTCGGTCTCCCCGCCTCTCACCGTGACGCGCAGTGCTGATACCCACTTCCAGCTGGGGCGCGACCTGGGCCTTCAGAGCAGAATCCCTGAAGCCCCGCCCCACGCTTGCGCCAGCCCTGCCCCGACCCGGCTCTCTGGCTCCGGGGGCGGGGAGGGGCGGGGCCTGGCGCAGCAGCGGGCGCCGAGGTCCAGGCGGGCAGGCGCGCGCGCGCCCCCGCCACACGCACGCGGGGCGTGGTATAAAGGACAGCAAGCGACGCGCCCTCTCCCAGCTCGGTTCGGTGCTTTGGATCCGTTTCCATCGGTTCTAACAGCTGCTCGTCAGGCCCTAGCAGCCAAGATGGTCAAGCAGATCGACAGCAAGGTACGCACTCCGGGAAAGGACAGGGCGCCGGCGCCGCACGCGGCCCCTGTAGCTGGGGAAGGCGGTGGCGGGAGGTGCGGAGGCCGCCTCTCCGCACCCCTAGGGGAAAGGGACGCGGCGTCTCGGCCTGGGACTGAGGGAAGCAGCGGCCTGGGCGCGCCTGAGGTGGCGGAGCCTGCCCTGGGGAAGGGAGGAGAGGGACAGGGAACCCCTGGAGGGCGGGGCGGCGGTGCCCAGCGGTGCCCACACTCTGCACCGGGGGCTTGCACGCACGCGGGGAGCTCCCAGGGGATGTACGAACGCAGGCAGCGCGAGGAGCCCCACACGGCGCCTCCTGCACCCTCCGGTCCGGGCAACCCCGACTGGGGAAAGAAAGGTGAGGGAATGGAAGGGGTCCGCCCTTGGCCTCCATCTGTATCCAGATTCAAGCCCCAGGCAAGGACAGGGAGGGCCCCTTGCAGAAGGCACCGGTCGCTGGCTGCCGCTGCGTTTTCGTCTGCGACGCGATCCACCCGCAGCGGGAGTGGTGATCCCCCTTGAGAGTGGGTCTAGGCCGGAGACTCTCCCCAGCTGCCTCCACCCATACCCGGTCCCAAAGGTGACGCGTGCTGTGTCCGCACTAAAGGGGCAGGTTGCGGCTGGAGATCCCCTGGAGCGTGCAGGTCTGGCCGGGAGGCCCGAGGGCCCCAGGTGGCCGCGAGGAAGTGAGGTCGGGGCCGCGCCCACGGGACTCCTCCTGTGGCGCAGGGCGTGTTTCCGGCAGCAGTGGCTTTGGAGTGACTCAGTCCCCATGGTTGGGCCCGGGGGCCTCCGCTGCCCTGCCCGTCCGTGATTCACCCTTGGTGGGTTTTGCTGAAGCCAGGGTTCCTCCTGGGAGCAGCCGCACCCTGCTGTCTGCTCACGGACCTATCGGTATCCCGATGGTTATTTTGTCCTCTTAAAAATGCCCAAGGCATAACTGCGTTCCTGTGTTCGAAAGTTACTGCAAGCCTAAAACCTAACAGACTGGGAAACCCAGAGCCTAACACGCAGTGTCTGGTCTGCTGTAGCTACTCCAGAAATACTTGTTAAATGCAGCGTCAGAAAAGTCAGTGGGGGAAATTGATGCTGCTCAAACAGCGGAAGACCCCTTGCCAATGCCTACCCTGCGATTCCCCTACCCATCCCCGGGAAGGTGGGGAGGGCGGGTCTTTGCCCGCCTCAAGTGCCCTGACCTGTTTGGTGCCAGGTGGGCTTCGGAAACAGAAGTGTGTTTGCAGTGTGTCCCCGATCGATCCTTTTGTTCCTTTGATTATTATTGACCCTCAATTTTTTTTTTTTCTCATATGTTGATTGCCATTGTGGTCTTCTGTCTTCTTGTTCTTAATCGCTTGTTTTGTTTTTTGGTTTTTGGTTTTTTTTTTTTCTTCTAGTGGGATCCTCATTTTTGCAGCGCTCATTCTGCAATGGTCGTTCATATACTTCTTTCCAAGCACCTATTGTGTGATAAATTATTAGTCCATGGCAGAGAAAGAGAGTGGGGCAGGAGTTCTGTTCTCCAGGGTCTGGCAACCTCAGTATAACCGAACTGCTAAGAACCCCCTCCACGGAGCCAGAAGACCTTTGAATGGTCTATGTTAGTTGTCTCAAAATCCAGACACTAAACAGAAAGTTGGTTAGGATTTCTGGAGCACACAGTTTAGGCCTCCCAGTTGTCAGAGCATGGTGGCACCTTCCTCCTCTACCAGTGACAAAGGTGTACAAGGGTGACAGGAACTTTAAAAAAAAAGCACTACAGCCTGGGGCCCAAAGGCGCTGATAATCAATTCAACTTCAAAATTACGATCCAAAGTCACTGATGGAAAAGTTACACTAATTTGATTGGGTTTTGTTTTGTTTTTTGTTTTTGTTTCTCTTGAGACAGAATTTCACTCATGTTGTCCAGGCTGGGGTGCAGTGGTGCAATCTAGGCTCACTGCAACCCCAACCTCCTGGCTTCAAGCAATTCTCCCACCTCAGCCTCCCGAGTAGCTAGAATTACAGGCATGCACCACCACGCCCAGCTAATTTTGAATTGTTAGTAGAGACAGGGGTTTCACCATGTTGGTCATGCTGGTCTGGAACTCCTGACTTCGGGTGATCCATCATCCTTGGCCTTCCAAAGTGCTAGGATTACAGGTGTGAGCCACTGTACCTGTCCTGTTATTTGTAAATATTGAATACATCTTACATTTTCATCCTAATGGGCTAAATTGGCACCGTTGGTCATCCAGAACAGTTCTGTTTCAGAGGTACTCTGTTAGTGCTTTAGGGCCAAATGGGATCTATTTCAGAAAGGAGTGGAATAATTGTTGTAAATGTGATGAGGAAAAAATATACACTTTAAAAAAAAGTTACCTACCATTTATTGAACTCCCATACTCAAGGCACTTCACTAAATACTTCAGAAACCACTCATGTTCTGCTCGGTATGGTGGCTCGGGCCTGTAATCTCAGCATTTTGGGAGGGCAGGGCAGCAGGTGGATCACCTGAGGTCGGGAGTTCGAGACCAGCCTGACCAACATGGAGAAACCCCATCTCTACTAAAAATACAAAATTAGCTGGGTGTAGTGGCATGTGCTGTAATCCCAGCTACTCAAGAGGCTGAGGCAAGAGAATCGTTTGAACCCAGAAGGCAGAGCTTGTGGTGAGCTGAGACTGCTGTTGCACTCCAGCCCGGGCACCAAGAGCGAAACAACATCTCAAAACAAAAAGAAACCACTTACATTTATTACCTTTGGGGTAACTATGTTTAGGCAAAGAGATTTTAGACTCTGCTCATATTTACCCCAACCTTCTCCCAGATTATTGCTATCAATGATGGAGACATTTGTTAATCCTGTTAGTTTCCGGGAGCTAGAAATTGTGGTTTCTTCTTAGTAATATAATCTTGAATAATTTTCAAGCTGATACCTGCTTAGAAGGATCAGAAGAGAATTTGTGCATGAAGTCTGCACATACCAGGGGTGTAACTCATGTACAGTTAGGCTGAAAGTTATTGTTGCATGCCTCTTTTCAGAATTTTAGGCACTTGGGCTTAATTTTGATTCAGAACTGTTTTGGAAAAGCCTTGAGTATATTTGAAATACCTTCCCTCTTGAAAATAACCTTAGGTTTTTAATGAGGGTCAACCATGTTAAAAAAAAATGTCTATTCAACCAGACATTGGCATTTCTTGACCTTTTTTCCTGTCTTACCTGGGTTTTGCAGTAAAGGATGGCTGGTTTAACTTTCTTGAAAATCACATTAGGGAAGGCTTTGAATGAAATTCATCTGAACAATCGGTGATGGTTTGGATAAACAATTGCTATACTTCTGAAAAGTATTTTCCAGCTTGGATTCATTCTCTCCATCACAGTCAGGTACACCAATCAAACGTAGATTGGGTCTTTTCACATAGTCCCATATTTCTTGGAGACTTTGCTCATTTCTTTTCATCCTTTTTTCTCTATTCTTGTCATTTTATTTCATTAAGTTGGTCTTCGACCTCTGATATCCTTTCTTCTGCTTGATCCATTCTGCTATTTAAACTTGTGCATATTTCACTAAGTTCTCGTGTTGTATTTTTCAACTCCTTTAGTTCATTTATATTCCTCTTTATATTGTCTAGAGACAATTTAGAGGAAAATTTTCCCAATCTAGCAAAGCAAGACACTATTCAACCCCAGGTAATACAGAGAACACCACAAAGATATTCCTCAAGAAGAGCAACCCCGAGGCACATAATCGTTAGATTCACCAGGATCCAAATGAAGGAGAAAATACTAAGGGCAGCCAGAGAGAAAGGCCAGGTTACCCATAAAGGGAAGCCTATTAGACTTAGAGCAGATCTCTCAGCAGAAACCCTACAAGCCAGAAGAGAGTGGGGGCCAATATTCAACATACTTAAAGAACAGAACTTTCAGCCTAGAATCTCATATCCTGCCAAACTAAGCTTCACAATTGAAGGAAAAATAAAATCTTTTATGAACAAGCAAGTACTCAGAGATTTTATTACCACCAGGCCTGCTTTACAAGAGCTTCTGAAAGAAGCATTACACATAGAAAGGAACAACCAGTATGAGCCTTTCTAAAAATATACCAAAAAGTAAAGAGCATCAACATAAAGAAGAATTTACATCAACGAATGGATAAAATAGCCAGTTAACATCAAATGGCAGTAACCCTAAATTTAAATCGACTAAATCCCCCAATCAAAAGATACAGCCAAAACCTAACAGTATATCCAAAGATACACAAAGACTCAAAACAAAGGGTTGGAGAAAAATTTACCAACCAAATGGAGAGCAAAAATACATAAATAAACAAAAAGCAGGAGTTGCAATTCTCACATTTGATAAAATAGATTTCAAAGCAACAAAGATACAGTGGTAAAAGGATCAATGCAACAATAAGAGATCTTAGTACCCAGATACGTAAGACCCATAACGAGATTTAGACTCAGTGAGACAGAAAATTAATAAGGATATCCAGGACTTCAACTCAGATCCGGAACAAGTAAACTCAATAAATATTTATAGTGTTCTCCATTTTAAATATACAAAATATTGATCGGCCATTATTAATACCCATTCTTAGAATGAAGCAATATTCCTGTTCTCTCTCCCTCTTTTTCTTCCTCTTTCTTCCTCTCCTTCTCTCCTTTTTTTTACTTTTCAACATCCTAGTTCCTCACCTCTACTCAATACTTTCCTCTGAACACCTGATTCCTTGTGATTCTCCCATCCCACTGAAACCTCCAATCCATTAAAAAAAAAAAAAAA